AGGGAGTTAACAATATTAATTCTTCTAATCCATAAACATGAGATGTCTTTCCATTTAAGTCTTCTTTAATTTCTTTCAACAATTTTTGTAGTTTTCTACTTCTGTGAAATTTCTCTAAATGATTTCATTCTTTCTGATGTTTTCACAAATGGAATTATTTTTTAAATTTCATTTTTGGTTTGCTCATTGCTAGTGCATAGAAAGACAATTGATTTTCTTACACCAATATTTTATTCCGCATCCTTGCTGAACTCTTTTATTTGTTCTAATTGTTATAACTATTAGTTCTAATAGTTTAATATGACACTTATAGGGTTTTCTATATATAAGAATACTTCTAAAAGTTCATGGAAAAATAGAATTAAAACATAATATGAATTTTTCCATGAGCTTTTTGAAGTACTCTTGTACAATATCAATCATATCGTCTCCAGATAGTTTTACTTCTTTCTTTCCAATCTGGATTCCTTTTATTTCTTTTTCTTGCCCAACTGTCCTGGCTAGAGCTTTCAGCACAATGTTTAGCAGGATGGTGAGAGTGGACATCTTCTCATTCCTGATCTTAAGGAGATTCAGTCTTTCACCGTTAAGTATGTTAGCTGTAGGTTTGTCATAGATGCTCTTCGTCAAGTTGAGGAAATTCCCTTCTATTCCCTTCTATTCTATTTGAGAGTTTTTGTCATGAAAGGGTGTTGAATTTTGTCGAATGCTTTTTATGTGCCTATTGAGATGATCATGGGATTTTTTCCCCCTTTATTCAATTGAGTTGATTTATTAATTCATTCTCAGGTGTTAAACCAACCTTGCATTCCTAGGTTAAATCTCACTTGGTCATTGTGTGTAACCTTTTTAAATATTGCTGGATTTGATTTACTAGTATCTTGTTGAAGATTTTTTGCATTTTAAATCACTATTTAATCAATATTTTGATTTGTTTTCTTGTGAGGTTTTTGTCTGATTTTGCTATCAGAATATAATACTGACTTCATAGAATAAGTTGGGAAGTATTCCCTCCTCTTCTGTTTTTAAAGAATTCATGAAGAATTTTTAAGACTTTTTTTTTGGTGGCTGGCTGGTACAGGGATCAAACCATGGACCTTGGTGTTATCAGCACTATGCTCTAACAAACTGATCTAACCAACCTGCCCAAATTTGGGAAGAATTAGAATTTTTAATTCTTCTTCAAATGTTAGGTAGAACTCACCAATGAAGCCATTGTAATAGTTTTTAAAATCCCATCTTGACCCAGCTTTGAGGCCATAGCTAGAGGCCAGTTAGTGCCTCTTCTTAACCAGCCAATTAAGTTCACACTCCAACCACTTCCCTTAGACTCTCACACTATGGGCCACTATACACCCAACCCAATCACCCGAGGGCCAGGTACTCAACAACCATGGACAGCTCCTATGCCCAAATCTGCTGAAATTATTCAAACTAGCTAATCCTAAATCTGCTTATCCTGTTTTGTCCATCCCTTCCCATGGAGACCACAATAAAGATGCTTGCCCACAATTCCCTTATCCCTTGTGACCAACTCCAGTGCTTCTCCTGAGTGGCTTTGTGTGGCTTGTTATGTTTACCCCAGAGAACTGTGAGTATAACGAAGTGTAAAACTCTTTCCGGTTTCTTTTTTTTTTTTTCTTAATTAGAGACCAAAATTTTTATTAACAGCATTTGTACTTCTTTTGCAGCTTTAATTTTCAACATTATAACATTTACTGGACCCACTGGTGACTAAATATCTTCACATACCCATGAGGTAAAAATAATTTCTACCTAGGACTTGAGTAAAATAGCAAGCTACTGCTCTAAGAAATGCATATTTATTTATAATATGCTTGTTTGTGCTTCTATAGAATTCTGCTTATAAATAGCATGACGGCAAAGATCTACATAAAATTCCTACACCCTTCAGGTTGTTCTACCATTAATCTTCTGATGTCTTACAAGAACTCTTACTGAACGTTTTGCTACATTTCTTACATCAGATTTCTCTCTAGTGTGAGTTCTTTGATGTAGAATGATGGATGCATTCAAACTGAAGGACTTCACACAATTTCTAAATTTTCTATATTTATATGGTTTCTCTCCTGTATGAATTTGTAAGAGTTTCATATCGCCTACACAATTTCTCATATGTGCTATATGTGTAGAATTTTGGTTTGGGGTTTTTTTTCTGGTGGGGATCTACTTATGTCAATTAAGGGATTAATACTGACATGGTTTCTCTCTCTCGATCTATGTCTGGCCTCATCACACCTCACCCCAGGTAATATGGTTAAAACAGCCATCTGGTCCTTGTCTTCTCCTGTGCGAAAATTTTTGATTACTAATTCAATCTCCTTACTTGTTATAGGACTATTCAGATTTTCTAATTCTCATTGAGTCAGTTTTGATTATTTATGTCTTTCTAGGAATTTATGTATTTCATTTAAGTTATATAATTTGTAGGTGTACAGTTGTCATAGTGTTCCCTTACAATTCTTCATTTCTGCAAGGCTGGTAGTAATGTCCACTCATTACTGTTTCTATTAATACCATGTCAGACTGTCTCCCTAATTGGCTGTCACTGCAACAGCAAGATAACAGAAAAATCTATTTGGGGGTATATAGTGGGGAACAGGCACTGACAGTAAGAGAGAATGAAAAGATAAATATAGGGGCAGGTTTGAGAATAGGCATCTAGAGAAATTAAAGTTTTGATATTACAAAACGATAGAATCTAATATACAGGAGAAGTTAAGAATAAGAAATTGGGTAAGATTGACACTGGATGGAAGATGGAGTGATTTTTGTCCTTTGTTGTATTGAGGTGGTATATTACATTAATTCATTTTCAGATGTTAAACCAGCCTTGCATTCGTGGGAAGCGGAGTGGGTAACCAGGTGTTCGTTATCCTAATTTATTCCTAAATTTCTGAGGGGATAATTTAATTATTAGAGGATAATAGGGCCAAGTATATTAATTTATTCCTGCAGAAACACCACCATGACTAATAGCAATGGAATTAATGTCCAACAATTATTGAGCACTTACTTAACATAAAATGGACCCCCGAATTCTAAACACTGTGAATTTCACCTTTCTATCCAGGTCATGATCATATTTTAACTGTGTTCAGATGAACCATATTACTGCATGGATAATGAGGCCAAGAAGGCCTGAGCTGCTGTTTCCTTAATAGGCAGCATTATCTTTATGAATATCTTAATATTCTGATTTCACTAGGCCTGTAGCTGATAGAACAAACTTGGTGACCTAAAACTCCAGAAATGTATTCTCTCACAGTTCTGGAAGCCAGAAATCCAAAATAAAGGTGTCAGCAGGGCCACACTCATGCCCTTAGAGGTTCTAAGGGAGAACCTGTTCTTTGTCTCTTCTGTTGGAGTGAGCAGGACTGAAGCCATGTTGGAACCTAAAACTGCATGGGATGTAGGCAAATAGTAAAACGTTTTTTTCTTGGCATGCATTTCCCTGAATTCCCTCTTTTCCCATGGTTATTTGATATTTTGAACCTTGGATACGGGACAAGATGACATTACTTACATGAATGTAAAGTATCTGTCCAGCCAGCCTGAAGCTGCAGACTCACATGTACTACCCAGACCCCGAGATAACAGCAACAATGGGAGCAGAAACCAGATGGAGTCTTGGCAAAACTTTGCACCTGAAACATGAATGTAAAGTATCTGTCCAGCCAGCCTGAAGCTGCAGACTCACATGTACTACCCAGACCCTGAGATAACAGCAACAATGGGAGCAGAAACCAGATGGAGTCTTGGCAAAACTTTGCACCTGAAACCTTGCATGAAGCCCTCGCTGCCCATGTGCCCCTCCCTCCTAATTTCCATTTCCCACTTTCCATTCCCTCATCCCCCCCTTTAAAAACCCCTCAGTAATGGATTTTCATACTGGCCAGCCATCAGGGAAAAAAAAAAGATGTAAAAACCCTTTAGTAAACCCAAGTCTTTAGATGGCTTTAGTCTGCTCATTCTCCTTCAGGTTTACTGGAGAGATGGGTTAGCCTAGCATCTCTCCTTGGGTCACTGGTATTCCTGAATAAAAGCTAACTTCCACTGTCACAAACAATTGACTTTTGGTTATTTTTGTCTGGGGGCAGGCAGCCGGACCTGTGAGTTTGATATCAATTTTGAGGAGCCTCAGCCAAGAGCTGAGTGTGCCCCGTAACAATTTCATCTTGTGGTGGCTGTTGGCATTCCTTGACTTGTGGCTGCATTACTCCTATCTGCCTTTGTGTTCACAATGCCTCCTCTCAAATCTCCCCCTGGCCTGTCTCTTATAAGGACGCTTATCATTAGATTTAGGAACCACCCAGATAATTCAGCATGATCTTATCTCCAGATCCTTAACTTAATTACACCTGCAAAAACCCCTGTTAGTCCATTTTCTGTTGCTTATAACAAAATACCTGAAACCGGATAATTTATAAGAAAATGAAATTTCTTAGGTTTGGAGGCTGGGAAGTCCAAGGTTCAGGGGGCACATCTGGTAAAGGCCTTCTTGAGAGGAACTCACCAGAGCCCCAGGGCAGCACAGGGCTTCACAGGGGGAAGTCTGAGCAATAGTGCATTTCCAAATGTTTTCTTCTTCCCCTTATAAAGTCTTAAGTCTACTCTCCGATAACCCATTTAAACAATTAACCCATTAGCCCATGAATGGATTAATCCATTCATGAGGGCACAGTCCTCACAATCCAATCCCCTTTCAAAAACCCCACCTTTCAAATACCATACTAGGGATTAAGTTCCAATATGAACTTTGGAGGGTACAAACATTCAAACCACAGCAACCCCTTTCCCAAATAAGGCAACATTCACAGGTTCCAGGAATTAGGATATGAACTTATCCACCACTCTAGGAAATTTTGAATAAGCTAAAAATATGAAAAGAAAAGAAAGTTCTCATTTGGGGAAAAAGCCATACTGTGGAAAGAAACATACCATGACATCATAGACAGCAGAAAATCAGAAACCAAAGCTTTTAAAACATATATATTTAATGTAGAGGACTGGAAAAAGGACTTCTTGAAAATGAATATATTTCAGGTTAACAAGGGTTTCCTAAATCTATGAATATTTCATTACAAATATTAATACCCTAAGTTACTCCTTCTCTACATAAAAGAGAAACTCCAAATCCTGTTCTTTAGGAAGACACAGAGGGCATTTAATACCTTAAGAGCTATCATTGCTATTTCTTCCCTTTCCTTAGATAATCTAACATCTCACATGGACCAATTACAAAAAGACATATTAGACTCCACTGAATTTAAGCACAAGATACAGCTAAAAATTCCCACTAGGGTACCAAATATTTGATGCTTATGAATGTTAATAAATAAGATAATTAAATATTAGCTACAAAGCAGATTCTAAAACTAAGTGAAGTATGAAAAAAAAAACCCACAGGTATAAATTCCTAACAGCCAGCAAATATAAATTTCACTAATTGGGTATGCTCTGCTTCCTTTTCTATTCCAGTGGGATCTTATTTTTGTTCAAAATCTTCTCCTGATAGACTCCAAGATAGTAAATTGCTTACATCACCGGGGCCTCAGTCATGGAAAAGATTTATTTTGGAAACAAAACCAACTTCTTTCTCTTTTACCAAAGATTAAGGTTGTCTTTTTTGTTACTTCTTTCAACAAGTTATCAACTTCCTCATGTAAGAAAAGTCACTGGGCAAGAGCAAGCTCTGTATGTTGGCTGTCCCACAGTGTAATGACTGGTTAATAAAGGAGCCACCCATTAACCCTTTTCTCTTTTTGTGTCATCCAAAGAATAAGCCAAAAGGATCAAGGTCACAAAAGACTCATGAACAAGGTACAACTATACAAATATCTTTGACTGGTCATATCTTCATTTCTTCAATCATGCCCCCAAATGAGCTGTTATTGAACCAAAAATCCCTTCCCACCTATTAGAGGCCTCTAAGGAACAGATGCTTCAAAGACTAGTTCAAGGTAGTATATAGATACTTCAGGAGAGTGGACCAAACGAGGAAGATGTGGAATACAAGAAAAAATGAAAAAAGAATATCTAATAAAATATACAGTTGCTTGAACAGTCATTGGTGTAAATTCCTTACCATTCTAATTTCTGACAGGCTCTTTCTTTTTACTAGTTAGAAATTAAGATATTTTCAGTCTTTTGCCTTCCTTTTCCACATTGTCTTTAATGTTCTGTAGTTTTCTGGAGTTCTGAACTAGGGACACCAAACTCACCTTAAAATCACTAGTCCCATGATCTCTGCCAACATTTTCAAGCTCATCAAACAAAGTCAATGTCTGTTTGAGTTTGGTCTGAACAATTTTTTGCTCTTCTAATTCTGCAAGAAGGGCCTGCTTAGTACATAATTCAGTCTTATACTTCTCCTGTAACTGTTCAATTTCTTTTTGAAGAAGCTGGAATTCTTCCTCACTATAAGGATGTATCTCCTTACATTTATCTTCAGGAAGCAAGATGTTTGGGGGAATACGCAAAATCAACTGCAAAAATAGCTGCTCCATTTTGCCAAAAAGGTTATCAAAACGTCCTTTCATGAAGCAAAGAAACTTCTCCGTGCATTTACGAATCTGGACTGGGCTAATCTCACAGTCTGGGATACCATCCAGCTTCTTCAGAATAACCTGCTCGACAGCCTGCATCACTTCAAAGAGGTAGTCTTGAAATGCAATGTAGATCCTAAGCATGCAAGTTTGTGGTGTGAAGCCAAAGAACTGGGCCTCATAGGTCATTGGATCAACAGACATCGTGGCTTATTTTGCTTTGCTATTTTTGATTGTGAAAAATAATCTGCAAATGTAAAAAGAAAAAATTCATTTAGATAACAAAATCATCTGCGGAAAGTAATGAATCATATTACAGATAGCAAACAAACAAGGAAGTAAATAAAGAAAAAATAAGGAGTTTGTGTTCCTTGATGCCACTTTGAGCCTTACTTGTCCACAATAGGATATAAACCCTCGCCTCCCTGAGGCTTTCCATCAGCCTATACCCTCCTTTTCACTCTCCTCATTATTCATTTCCATCATCACTCATTTACTGAGGACTTTGGCACATGGCTCAATCTTCTGAATTCTGTTTTTATTCTAAACAACTTTGAAGTGTAGACAGATGACCTAACCAATGCCTTAGAGAATCTCACATTCTTGAGCTTCACTGACCTACATCTCCATTCTTTTAGCCACCTGGCTCTTGCTACTTTTAACTTCTCTCCCCAACTGCTCCTACTTTTTGACCACAACCTCCTATGCTATTCTTTCAACTCTCATTCACATACTCACATTATATCTTTATCTTCAATATCAAATCTTCCTGACAGTTCTTGCTCTCAGTCTCTCCCACTACACTTCTTTCCCTATTCATTTTAGTCCCCATGATCTATCATTTTAACTAGTCCCTTACTAATGTCCTCAATTCCTTTGTCTTCCAACCTAGCCATCTGAAAAAAATTCCAATTAGAAGATGAGCAAATTTTTTTTATCAGGTTTACAACCCCTGCAGGTTTTCTCAAGGATCTGAGAGTCATTCCTTTCAAATGTAAACATCTAGGAAAACAGCACCCCATCTCTCTGTCACTGTAGAAGTTTAACCCAGGCATCTTTTTCAGAGTTGTAACCAAACCATATACTTGTCATAGAAATAAGAGAAAGTTTATTATTCCTTCAAATAAAAGCAATTAGCTAAAACAAACTGCTACTTTAATTACCAGATGAATTTCAGATGGATTTTACGAAACTATTTGCAGCAAAAGGTACAGTCAGATCTTCTCATGGGAAGACAAGATGCTGTTAACCTTGAGAATTTATGTATGTAACGGCTAAAAATAGAGTGGTTATAACTGCCTGGTTGTATAAATAGGGTAGAATTTCTGTTTTTGTAATCTCATTCACAGATTACCTACAGTGCACTGTAATCTGACTATGCTTATACAATAACACAACTGCTTTCTTTTCTGTTCTGTGGATCTCTGGATTGGCAGGATTTTTATTTCTTCAACACTTCCCTATGTCTCCAGGATCAAATTCAAACTCTTTGAACATGGCTTACAAGGGCCTTCATCGTCTTACCAGCTACATTCTGTTCTTTTTAAGTGCCTTCTATGTTTGTAACTAACTTAATAATACTTCCTATTTCATGGCACTCTATTTTTGGTCCATATGCTAGGTTCTCTCCTACTTATTTTATTCTTCTATCTCTCATCTCCCATCCTTAGTAGGAACCTAATCTAGTTTTTTAATGTGTGCCCTTTCAATTCATCTTTATCTTTAACAGGTGTTAGATATATATTCTTGAAAAATATAGCTTAGTATATGTAAGTATACATTTTTATTTATGTTGCGATATCACTTCATGTTATTATATTCAAGTTTATTTCATTGGTTCTGACTGAATTATTCCATCAATTTTATCACGTGCATATACCACACTTAATGTGTCCATTTTCGTTGTGTCAGACACCAAGTTTGCTTCCAGCATCTTGCTATCAGAAGTGCTGCAATGTGGAATCAGCCCAAATGTCCATCATCGGATGAGTGGATACGGAAAATGTGGTATATCTACACAATGGAATACTACTCAGCTATAAAAACGAATGAAATACTGCCATTTGCAACAACATGGATGGACCTTGAGAGAATAATATTGAGTGAAACGAGTCAGGCAGAGAAAAAGAAATACCACATGTTCTCACTTATTGGTGGGAGCTAAAAAAAAAAAAAAAAAAGAAAAACAAACAAACTAATTC